GCAGTCTTTGAGGAGCAGCCAGCCCAAAGGGAGGGGGAGGAGAGGCTTTGGGCTCAACACCCACCCCCAGCAAAATCCCATTGGCCAGTTTCTGTTCAGACCCACATGGCCCCTGCCATGGTCAGGCAGCCTGCCTGGGAAATGTGTTGGGCTGCTGGCCAGGAGTCACCCAGGTAAGTGTCCCAGCCAGAGCCTGCTTCTGGCACCCCAGGCCCTCCCCCCAACCTCTGCCCCCCACTCCTGCCTCCCTATCCCACATATCCCAACCTCTGGCCCCCACTCCTGCACCCATTACCCTTGCAGACACTGCACTCCAATCCCCTGCCCAAGATCAATACCCCCTGCTGCCCTAGGTCACAACCCAATCCCCTGCACCCCCTCTTGCATCCCAGCCCCCTAACCGCAGCTCCCTTCTGCGCCCAATCTCCATCACACCCCACATCTCCTCCATTAATATCATGGACAAGTGCGGCCCTCGACCACTTTCCAAATTCTTGGAGTGCCCCCCCCCCCAGTGTAGATGAATCGTAGGCCCACCCGTGCTGTCCCCTAGCTTTACCCATCAGGCTACAGTGCCCCTCTCAATGGGCAGGTGAGACACTGTTCTCTTTTGGGCAATGGAATTGCTCCAGGATCCCGCTTGTACCCAAAGCCCAGTTCCTTGTCTCTGTCTCCACTTAGGGGGGCCAGAGGCTTACAGACCAGGGGCAGGAGCACTGCCAATCCACCCCTCCTCTTATCCTACCCCACCCTTCCCACTACTCCTCCCCCAGAGGCCCTGTCCCAGGCCAAACCAGAAGCCAGAGTGGGGCCAGGGAGCCTATCCTCACCCCACCTGGGTCTCCCAACCCTGCTGGGCCCCATCTGAGCAGCCCTTGCCCATAGTCCCACTCCCTGGGAATGGGGGGAGTTAAACAGGCTGGGGAAGACCGCTTTCCCAAAGAGCCCAGCCTGCTCCTCGCCAAGCGTCCTCTTGCCTGCCCTTGCCCCAGCTCTGGCCGTCAGCGCCTCTCCCAGCCACCCGACCTCCTAGCTGAACTTGGCGGAGCTGGGGCCTCGGTGGGAGAGAGGCTGAGGCGCAGGGCTGCCCAACTGGAGGCTAGGGATGGGGGACATGTGTCCCCCCCACCCTGTGCTCAGGGGCTGTGCTCTTGGAGTCCTGGGGCCATGCATTGCCTGCCCACCTAGTGGTGGCCATGGGAAGGGAGGGGTGATGGTGGGGTGCTCAGGTTCGGGGGTGGGACCAGCAAAGGGTAGCCTGCTCCAGCTGTCAGGGGATTAGCATGTTCCCTGTGAGCTGTGTGCTTGGGTGGCTGCCCAGGGGAGCTCCAAATGCCACTCCGGTGTCTCTATCAGTGGCTGGCTGCCTACAGCCTGGGGTCTTTGAGCTAGGGCAGGTGGGGAACCCAGGCTCTCCACAGCGGCCTCGTGGCTCTTACCCTGACCCCGTAAGAGCCTCGGGCAGTTGTGAGAAGCTGCAGCCCCGATCCTCTACCTGCCCTGTGTGGTAGGCCCAGCGGGGCAGGGACATGGGCTGGGGGCTGCTTTGCCCCTCCCCCCACCCCAGGGTGGGCAGGTGGAGGGTCTGCTGCAGCTCCACACAAGTGCCTGTGCAGCTCTTACCATGGAGGGGCTGTGGCTTGAGGCCTTGGCCAGAGCTGGCTTAGGGTAGGAGCCACATGGACAGCTGTGGGGAGCCAGCGCAGACCCTCCATTTCCTCCTGCCCCAGCTGGGCAGCCCAGAGTGGGGGAAGGCAGCTGGGTCTGCCCTCACAGAAAAGGGATGGGCCAGCAATGTCTGATTCTGCACAGGACGCTGTGGGGGCTTAGCTGGAGCTGTGGGCAAGCAATGTTCCCTCAATTTTTGCCATCCATGTGCACAATCCATTTTGGAGTGTTCACTGAGGCATGAACAGCTGTGCACCACCAGTAGAAACACACACTACTGGCTGTGCATGCTGGGCAACACCCGAACACACACTGCTGGCTGTGCAGCTGGGCAACACCCGAATCTCTCCTGGGCAGCCGCCCCAGCGCTCAGCTTACAGGAAACACTGCTGGCAGGGAGTCTGTCTCCTGGGACCCAGCTGCCTTTGACCTCTCATGGCACAGAGTTCCTTTTTGGGGATGAGGGTCTGAAACTGCTCAGCTCTGCCTCAGCCACAAAACCCGGCTCCCACTGCTAGGCACCTGGGCGGGCTCACAGCAGGGCAAGAACACCAAGTAAAAGTCCCTAGCAGCCATCTCTCCTGCACACAGGTTGGGGGGGGACATATCATAATGGATCATTTCCAATACCGAGAGCATCTGCGCTCCTTAGAGACAGCAAGAGGGAGATAGTGTACCAGGGAACAGCGTTGCTTTGAAAGCGTAGGAGCATTTGCATCTTGGCTTATTTTCTTTCCAAACAAAGTGGGTGTGACTTTGTGGGCGAAAATGCATTTGGTGCAATTTAAAGAGAGTGAAGCTTTTAAGTCTCCTACTTAAAACACATCCCTTAGGAGCTGCGTTTCTCCAGTGATTGCAAAATGGTTACAGCGCAGTTCAGACTTAGCTCCATTTATAGCAGCTCCAAGTTAGTCTGGTGCTGACAGTTATGTGACAAGAGCTGGGGAGCTGATTTGTCCCCTTTCCTCCAAACAGGAGCAACTGGCATGCACACATCCTGTGCAGAGTCAACTTACACCCAGGCTGTATCTATCTGCCATGCACTCAGAGCCCAGCGCCAGCCCTTTGGCCTTCGCACAAGCAAGAAGCTGACACAAAATTGTGTTTTGGAAGAAAGGCAGCTTCCCACTCTCACTGGCTCTTGCACCCAGATGTGCTCCTGCTTGACACCAACTGCATTCAGCTGGCTTCCGTTTCCCAAGTCACAGTGTTTGTCCTGTATGTTCTGCTCCCAAAGAGTCTCTCAGAAACGTGCTGCTATCTGTTTGGAGGGAGCGCAGACAGGGCCTTGTGTACACAGGGCCCCTAGCCAACAGCCCCACAGTCTCATGGCAGTAGCACAAAAAGGACAGGTGAGATGAGCTTGTTCACAAAAGCCAGGATTTCTTGGCCAGGTGAGAGTAAAGATGTTAAGTTGCGTGTAATTCACTAATTGAATAGTCAATGCATTTTTGCATCGACTATTTGATTAGTTGATAGGGTGGCGCAGCCCCCAGCTGGACCTGGGCTCCACGCGGTGCTGCCGCTTTGAAACACCACAGTGGTATATCAAAGGGGCAGCCCCCAGCTGATCCCGGGCTTCGTGCGGTGCTGCCCCTTTGAAATGCTGTAGTGGCGTTTCAAAGCAGCAGCACCACGTGGAGTCTGTCAGCCGGGGACTCCAGCT